ATGAAATTAATGCAACAAATAATTCAGAACACTGCATGTTTATCGAATAATAATTTAAAGATAAAAATACACCTAACCTTTAAAATTTTATATACTTTATTATTTTAATTTTTTTTATATTGATGTTAGTGAAATTAATAAAAATAACTTATAAAAAGATAAAAAAATACAAAATAATGATCAATCTACGTGAGGTTTGCTTTGCATTTAAATCTGTGAAGTTGTCCTGGATGCATTTCTTGCCCCGTGGGTTGGATGCCCTCACTCCTTTTGTGGCTTTAGAGTATATGTATGTTTTAACTCTAACTCAAAGATGTGCAAGGAAATAAATTATAAAGGCATCATTAGTATGTTGAATACACCCACACTCCCATGACCTCCCAGGCTCGTAGCTCAATGCATTACTAAGCATCTTCCTTAACTACCCCTTAAACATGAGGTGGTGGATTTCACTCTCCAAAAATGCCATTTATTATTATTATTATTATTATTATTATTATTATTATTATTATGTTTTTTTGTCTGTGAATGATTATACTATTACACACACACACATTCTCTTGATGTAGATATAAACTAACGGTTTTTTTTTTTTTTCCTTTAACCTTACTTGAAGTTTCACGAGGCAACGTAAATTTAATTGTGGGTCAATTATGTCCTTCAACATTAAAAATTTCTTCTCTTATTATCCTGTCATTAACTCACCGTCTATTCACATAGGTAGGCCTTGCATTCAATTTTTAATATTTTTACTATAAAATATTGGATTAAGGGTTATTTTTACTTCCAACTTTACTATAAAGATTCATGGGTAGTTGGAAACCATAAAATTAAATATTTTATAATATAAAAAATATTTAAAAAATTACATGTGAGGCTCACTGATGGTGAGTTAACAATAGGGTGATGAGAGCTCTCCAAAAATGCCATTTATTATTATTATTATTATTATTATTATGTTTTTTTTGTCTGTGAATGATTATACTATTATATACCACACACATTCTCTCTTGATGTAGACCTTAAAAGGTATAAACTAAGGGTTTTTTTTTTTTTTCCTTTAACCTTACTTGAAGTTTCACGAGGGCAACATAAATTTAATTGTGGGTCAATTATGTCCCTTCAACATTAAAAATTTCTTCTCTTATTATCCTGTCATTACTCACCGTCTATTCACATAGGTAGGCCTTGCATTCAATTTTTTATATTTTTTCTATAAATATTGGATTAAGGGTTATTTTACTCCTCAACTTTACTATAAAGTTCATGGGTAGTTTGGATACCATAAAATTAAATATTTTATAATATAAAAATATTTTAAAAAATTACATGTGAGGCTCACTAATGGTGAGTTAACAATAGGGTGATGAGAGAGGAAATCTTTTAACATTAAAGGACAAAATTGACTCATTGTCATATGTAACATATACTCCTTTACAATAACTTTTAATTAATTTAATGTCAATTAGTTATTAATAGCATTTAAAATTATACATTCTTTTCCATATTCATCCTTATTCAACAATAAAGTGTATGAATTAAAAAATGTTTACTCTCTCCGTTAAAAAATGTAAGGCATTTTAACCAAAATTTTTACTCCCAATAAAAAGTTATTTACTTTCAAACTAACCATATCTTTTTATATTTACCCCTATTAAATGCCCATAATAAACATAAAGTCATCATCATTTAGGCACTTTTGAAAAAAAAGATAATTGATTACACCTCTCGAAAACTAAAAGTTCTTATATGTTGTTGAACATTCAACTCCTCAAAAATACTTTCTATTTTTTAAGGAAGGGAGTATTAATTACATATTTACATATCCCTAATTAATTACATTTTTTAAAAATTATAAGTCATGTATTAGAAAGACCAAAAAATGTCTTATACCTTGTGAATCAAAAAAGGTTATATATCACTTTAAAAAAATACCTTAGAAAATTGAACAAAAGGAATATATATTAATGTTTATATTGAAAAATGATTAGTTGCTTTTTTATCAATCATAAAACAGTAATTTAAAAAATTATTTTTTTTTCTATCTAATTTTAAATATTGCATCAAGTTTGCCCTTTAGAGAATAAAATCCCTTTAATCACCATTACCAGATTGATATAGTTATTGGAGGGAAGGATAATCAGTACTTTTCTAGATTAGATAATTCATTATACTTAATCAAACCATTAAGTTTCGACAGGAAGGGTAAAGTAAAATGAACAGCAAGAAATGGGAAGGAAAATCATTGCAGTTTTTTTAAAGCAAAATGTAGTTAATTAATAAATTAATTATTATTCCATGACTAATCTGAGATCAGATAGTCAAAGAGCATTTTGGAAGTTTAAGTGGATGGTTCCGAAAGGAGAAGGCATGCCTTTAAGGAATGTTTAACACGATTTTGGATTTTGGTCTCTCTGGCATCCATATCTTGACATTTATTTGTCTTGGTCCAATCTCATACTGTACAATCAAGCCTGTATCTACTCCAAATTTTTCTCAAGGAATCAATAAAGTAGCTTTTCTGATTTACAGATCTGATTTTATAAGCTGCTATATAAGTTTGTCATTAAAGTTACTGTACGTCTTTGCAATGGTTTCCCTTTTTTAAAATTTTATACTCAAGTTCATATACGTAAGATTTTTTTAAAATAAATTAAGAAATATTTATTTTTATCTCTAATTTAACCCATAACTAACTGTTTTTATTGACCTTTTGATTTTTTTATTATAAATTTAACATGTATTTATTCTAATCTGATTGTCAAGAAAACATCACGTTAAATACATAATTTTTTTTTTTTACCTTGTAAGAATTAACAGCCAAGAGATACATTAATTTAATTTTTATATGCATATATACTTTATTAAATCATGAAAATTAATTAAAAAATAATGAATTATAATTATAAGAACATAATTGATATTACTAAAAATACTTTTTTTTTCTTGCACGTATAACAAGGGGTCTAAGTATGTGCAAAACCAAATCTAACCAAAATTTAGTTTGTCCAGTTGTGTTATTCCGTTTACTTTTTATTTCAGTCTGTTTGATTTGGTTCGGATTTGAGTTCAAGAAACCTAAGTAAATTGAACCAAACCAAAAGTTTTTTTTTTTTGTAATATAAGTTTGTAAGTCGTACACAACATTAGATAAAAAAATATATGTAATTATCATTTCTTTTTATTTTTTTGGTCATGCTCGTGGTTTTTCTAATTTATTGTTGCATATTTGTAGTTGGAACATGTTTCTAATTCTGTTACTTTTATAATCATTCAATGAATGTATTATGTATGTTAGCAGTTTTAATTTGGAAGTTACGAATGGTATATAGCGTTCATCCTTCGTTTTATTGGAATTCTAGCAAATGTTGACTCAATATAATTGGTTTTCCTTCTTTCTTAAGGGAAAATGCTGGCAAAATTATGGCCAACTTAAAAGCCAAAACTAAATAGACCCATTCGTTAAATATTTCGGGTACATGTCCGAAATATTTTTGATTCAATTCGTGAACGTGTTGTGTTCGATTATTTCGGAAGATGGGAGAAATGCAAGAATGAATATTGCAAGAAAGAAACCCCTTGCAAAGAAACAAAAAAAAAAAAAATTACTGCTTTCATTAAAAAATATAAAATATTTTACTAATCTCTCACTTCAAAATAAATAATTACTTATTTTTAAAATTAATTTTATCTTTTTATATTTATTCATATTTAATAAAATATTTCGCCTAAAAAAATTTAGTAATATATTTAATATGGGCGTTTAAAAAAAATAAAAATTATACTTTAAAAAAATTTAAAATACTTTATAATTTTTAATATTAAATTTTTTAAAAATATTTATATTTTTTTAAAAGAGAGAGTATCAGCATTCAAACAAAAAGAATAAACTTAAAAAGATACTATTAAAGTAAAAACAAGATATTAAAGCCTGTTTAAATTGAATGGCAGTAGAGCACTTGTAGAGAATCTCTAAACATTAAAAATACGTGCACGGAAATATAGTTATAGCCTTATAGGTACTTTTATCATTATAGTTATTTTTCCTTCATCACTCGTATAATTATATTTCACAAATTCGAGACATTTATTTTTTATAAAATAACTACTAAAAAATAATCCACTTAATCTTTTAAATACTATTAATATTAATTTTTTAAAAAAGTATTAAATTAATATTTTTTGTAATATTTAACTTAAATTTTATCAATTTTATGATCTGTGTAGTTTAAGGGAGGAATAAGAAAGTTAGGAAGGGGAGTGGGAATTTTAATGGGTTCCAAAAATAAAATAAAATAAAGCAAAGTTAAAAATGTTTAATTGATTTTTTACTCTTTTCCCTTATACCTTTTTCTATCAAAACTTTATAACCTCATTTGCTCATTTATTCACTAAAATCTTCTCCCTCCCTCCCTGCCCCTTCATTTTCATTGCAATGGCGTACAATCTAATTAATTTAATATACAAGTGTACATTAAATTAAATATGATCACAGCCTTAGAGCTTTGGATCCATCTTCATGCTCATTATATTAATGAGCAGTCTGAACCATCTGATTTTAATTTGAATAGTTTAAATTTAAAATATTATTTTATATTTATTAAAAAATTTATAAAAATTGTAAGAAAATTTAATAAATTCTGTATCATCAATTTGATCTATATTTAATTTGAAGAATCAATTTAATATTAAAATTTTTATATATTAATTATCTATATATATTTTGTATAGTCTAGATTTTAAAATTTGTAACTTATAATTTTAAAAAAAATCAATTTTATATATTTTAATTTTTAATATTATATTTTTATATAATGTTAAAATAAAAATATATAAAAATTTTAAAAAATTTGTATTAAATTAAACTTTGAAAATTAAATTGAAATCACATTGATGATAAAAAATTTTATTAAAATCTTTTTATAACTTTTATAAATTTTTATTTTAATAAATATAAAAGAATACTCAAAATCTGAGCAGTGTGACGACTGACGAGCACAGTTGTTGAGTCGCTCTGGAGTCTGGACTCTTCAGGAAATATGGTTCGTTTTTTCTCTGGCACGCTCTAGAACTCCATCTCCTGTTGTATTTAGTTTCTCCCTCTTTCATCTCACGCTACTACTTGCCAATCGGATTCGCAGCTTCTCAGGTTCTCCTTCATTTCTCAAGCTTCTGCTGCTTTTACTTCCCTCTCGGACTCCTCATCCCCATCTCTTCTTACGCATTTTGCTCCACCAAGGTTCGGCTTCTTTCATTCCTACTTGTTTTACTTGAGTTGTCTATACCTTCTCTTTCGATTTTTGAGGATTAAAATCAGACTAGTAATCGTGACCTGCAGTGCGCTGGGCCCGTTTTGGTTTAGTTCTTACTCTCTCTGCTTGATCAATTGGGCCACGGGTTGATTCTTGGTACGATGTTCATTGATGACATTTTCTGTTCTGTCATTTTGTGTATTGGAATTCTACTATACTCATGTCTTGACTTGATCCAAAATGTATAAACTCCCTATTCTGATGTGCAATTAATAAGAATGTATCAAAAGATAATATAGAATTTGTTTCTGATTTTTTTTCCCGTTCCGTTGTCTTTGCGGTCTGCTTAATCTTTATCAGTATGACGGTCAAAAAATCTTTATTAGTATAAAGGCTTATATGCTTGGGCTCCTGTATCTCTTGCTTGTCCATTTCGCATGAAGACGGAAATAGAGAACCAACATTTATTGGAAGATGCCATTTCGCATGGTGTTTCATCTTCTTTGATGATAATGAATGTTCTTTTGCATTGTTCTGTATTTAAGTTTTCTTGATTACTTACATTGTATATCCTAAGAGATGCATTTTACATTTGTTGTCTTATTTCTCTAACTGAGTTTTGTGTCCATGCTCTGTATTCGACTTGAGCAAAATCGTCTCAGAGGTGTTTGTAAAAAGACCCTTGTGAAATGCAATTTCTATGATTTTTTTTTCCCAACTATTAATCACTTGGACTTTGGGCCTTCAATTATTTTGAGGATAATGAGTTCGTAGATACAAAGAATCATGCCATCCTATTATTCTTATGAAGGAAGAGGCTGGGAGAAATCCTAAAGAGCAATCTTTAGTACGTTGATTTTGGGATTGGATTAAACTATTTCAGATGTCAGTTTTGTAACGATTCAATTTTGCATCTAACAAGTTTGTCTACTTGGGTTACCAAGATAAGGACCGTGTCAACAACTGCAAAATGGTTAAGATCTAAGAATTGCACAACAAAATGAAACAAATGAAATGCCATATCACATTTTTGTAATCCCTTTGTATTTGAAGCATTCTTCCTAGCATCGATGGTATAATGGACATGTTTTGTAGACTAAGAGTAGTAATCAGGGATGGATGGAATAATTTGTTGAAGCATCGGCGAAGCTTAAACTCCAAAATGTTTGATTGCTGTTTTATGATGCTCCATACAAAATTTATGATCTCACCTCTATCTATTTCAGAATGGCTGAATTCATACACCGTGGCATCTGACAGTGAACACCACTGGGGAGGATAAGTCATCAACTTTTCCTGAAATTGGCATTGGAATTGACATTGGTACATCACAATGCAGTATTGCTGTGTGGAATGGATCTGAAGTGGAGCTTTTGAAGAACACAAGAGACCAGAAGATTATGAGATCATATGTGACTTTTAATGATGATACCCCTTCTGGAGGAGTTAAAAGTCAACTCTCTCATGAACATGACTTGTTATCCGGAGCTACAATCTTCAACATGAAACGCTTGATTGGAAGAGTTGATACAGACCCAGCTGTTCACTCTAGTAAAAAATCTCCCATTTCTGGTACAGACCTTGGATATTGGTATACGTCCCTTTATTGCGGCACTGGTGAACAATGTGTGGAGATCCACCACGCCAGAAGAAGTCCTGGCTATTTTTCTACTGGAACTAAGAGAGATGGCTGAACCTCAGCTAAAACAACCAATAAGAAATGCAGTCCTCACAGTTCCGGTCTCATTCAATCGATTCCAGCTGACCCGAATTGAACGAGCTTGTGCTATGGCTGGCCTTCACATTCGCCAGCTGATGCCTGAACCAACTGCTGTGGCTTTATTATATGCGCAGCAGCAGCAGAGTTCTCATGACATGATGGGCAGCGGAAGCGAGAAGATTGCTCTAATTTTCAATATGGGTGCTGGCTATTGTGATGTCGCTGTGACATCTACAGCCGGAGGAGTATCACAGATAAAGGCATTGGCAGGAAGTACCATAGGGGGCGAAGACTTGCTTCAGAATACGATGCATTATCTGTTACCAGAATCTCAAACTCTATTCACGACCCGCGGTATCAAAGAAATCAAAACTATGGCCCTGCTCCGAGTTGCAACTCAGGACGCCATTCATAGGCTCTCCTCTCAAACTAGTGTGCATATTGATGTAGACTTGGGAGATGGATTGAAGCTAAACAGGGTTTAAACCGGAACGAGTTTGAGGAAGTGAACAAAAGGTGTTTGAGAAGTGTGAAAACCTCATCATCCAGTGTTTGCAAGATGCCAGAGTAGAGGTTGAGGACGTAAGCGATGTGATAGTCGTTGGCGGATGCTCTTATATTCCGAAGGTAAAGAATCTTGTGACTAGCATGTTTAATGGAAAGGAACTTTACAAAGGGTTAAATCCTTTAGAAGCTGCGGTTCGGGGTGCAGCAGTTGAGGGAGCTGTGGGAAACTTGGACTTGCTAACTATCCAAACCGCACCTCTAGCTATAGGGATCAGAGCTGATGGGAACAACTTTGTCCCTTTGATACCAAGGAATACAACAATACCAGCAAGGAGGGACTTGGTTTTCACAACCTGTCATGATAATCAAACTGAGGCATTGATCATTGTGTATGAAGGTGAGGAAAAGAAGGCTGAAGAGAATCATTTGCTGGGATATTTCAAAGTAGTTGGAATTCCTGAAGCACCTAAAGGAGTTCCGGAGATTAATGTGTGCATGGACATAAATGCAGCAAATGCACTGACAGTGTTAGTAGGTGTTGTAATGCCAGGGTCTCGGCAGTCGGTGATTCCGGTCATGGAAGTGAGGATGCAACTGTCGATGACGGCCATGGTTGGTGCGTTGAGGCCTTAAATAAGAAGTGTGGTGATACACAGGACTTGGTTACTGTCCAGAGGAAAGCATAAAGTGATACATCAATGCCTTTTCTTTTATTTTCTTTTTGTTTTTTTTTTTAACCATGGTTTTCTAGTGTTCTAGAGACGTGTTTTAGCGTTTGGTGTTTGTATAAATGGTGTTCTGCGCCTCCGATCTTACAAATCTGGAAGTAAATATGCGGTATATGATGAAATAATAAAAGCTGAAACATAGCATGAATCTATATCTATATGACTATAATCTACTTAATATCATGACTTCCATCTAGAATGACTTTCATTGTTGACGGGACTCTATTTATTTTTTTTTTTTTCATTTACTATTGTTAAATAGAAAGATAATAATAGGGGGAATGAAAATAAGGAATTGGTGGACAAAAATGTACTGTTCTGTTTCGAATTATAAAAAATAATTTGTTTAGATTTTTAATATGCATGGAAGTATAAAAAAATAAAAAACAAAAAATCATTATTAAAATAGTTGCTAATACACGGGTATATTGTTCTAAATTTTAATTTTTAAATCATAAAATATTTTTAAATAAAATTTTATATATTAATAAAATTCATTTTTAACAACCTTATTTTTTTAAAATAAAAATTTTTAAAAACTCATCATTTAATATATTGAAAAGAGAATAGACTATAATTAATTGTACAGGAAGAAAAAATAATATTAAAATAAATTTATATAATAAATTTAAATTTTTAATTTTTTTAAGTGTTTTATATTTTAAAATATTAAATTTTGTTAAAAGTATCTTATAATTTAAGATAGAAAGAGTATATTTTAATTTAAATGGGACAAAAAAATTTAAAATAAAATAAGTTATTATTTATGTTTTTAAAAGCAAAAGGGCACCTTAGCTTTTAAACTGCAAGTCTAAGAGCATTTAGAATTTTAAATTTATTTTTAATATAATATTTTTTTAATTTTTAAAAATAATACAATTTGACCATTATTATTAATAAAAGTTTATTGAAAAATTGGATTACAAATTAAAGTAGGAGTTGCAAATTTCAAAAGTAGGATGCAAATTTGTAAGTTTTAAAAAATTGGATAAATTAGCCCACTAACGAAAAAAAATCTTGTGATAAGAAAGTACGCACCAAAATTTTAAAAATTTAGGAGCATAGTTAGTTTATATTAATATATATGGAATTTGTTATTAATATACAAAAAATTTATTATTAAAAATTTAAAAAATTTACAAGAAATTTATCAATAATGTGTAACGGTATTATTGAGAAATATAATAAAATGACCATAATATAAAATATATAAATGTTGGACTGTTTATTTATTTTGATATTATAGTATGAACTATATTTACAAAAGTCACTTTAAAATTTTGTCAAAAGATCAATTAAAAGTCTAAGGAATTTCATTTGTATTTTGAAATTTGTTAAGGTTTTAATGAAATGAATTGTCCTTTTAGAATTTCAATGTGTTTGGTTAAAAAAAATGATTAAAGTATAAATCTATCCTTAATGTTTTCATCCAGAGACACTCTATATCTTAAAATATTTTTTAGCATAATTTCACCCCCAATGTTTTTATTTTGATACAATATCACCTTATCATTATCCTTTAACTATTTTGACTATTACTTTTAAAATTTTGACCATTTTATGCCACCTGGAATGACACATGGCATATTTTTAAAATTAAAAATTAAAAAGAAAAAACAAATCCACATCACCTATTCCTCTTCTTCTCCAAGAACAAAACCCAGAAAAACGCTGCCCTCAAATCCCCCACACCCAAAAGAACTCTTATAATCGTAAAACCACCCTGTCTTCATCAGCTTTCTCACAGCTCCTTGCTCTTTTTCACTTTCTTTTCTTGTGATAAGATAAATGAAACCTATGGATAGATAAGAAAGAGAAAAAAAGAAATCAGATTTCCTAAACCTGGAACAAGATTGATTCATTGTTAGAGCCAATAAGACAATTAGTAGGATGAGGATCTTCAGGCTTGTTTGGATGGTGTGAATAGAAACGCCATAATTGGTAGTTTCTTGACCAAAAACAAATAATTGATATATTTAATAAATTAACAGTCATTACTTGAATAGGAGTACATATAATGTGCTCCATCTATTTCAAATTACAAAACATTTTAGGATAAATATGACATCTTAAAATATAAGACATTCTAATAAAATAAGATTTCATTAATAATATTTTTTTAATATTATCCTTCTTGTTATATTCTCTTTTTTCAATATTATTTTATAATAAAATATTAAATGAATGGCATTTTTTATAACTTTATAGGGGTATCTTTGTTTTGAAAAAATAATATTATAAAGTATATTTAATGAAATTTATTAATATATACTCTTCCTATTTAAATTATAAGACACTTTTAGATAAAATCTCACACACCAATAAACCTCATTAAATACACTAAACAATTTTTTTTTTAAAATAAAAATATAAACTTTCTAAAACATCCTTCATTTTAATAACATTAATTCTACATTTAATTAACATTAAATAGAGAGAGGGTAAAATTAAAATAATTCTATTTAATAAAATTTTAATCTTCTCAAAATTTTTCATATTTTGTTATAGCAATGGAGAAGTAAATTTTACCTAAAAATATTTTATAAATTGAGAGTAAGAAATAACAAAATTGGTCATAGACACAACAACAGGAGCCTAGGAAAACGCATGGCACCGCATAATAAGTGGCCTTAATTGATAAAAAATATATAGTTACGGCATGGAGCACTTATTGTACGCCTAAAACATTAAATATGAAAACAATTAATAAAATTAATATAGTAGCAGTTAGTTAAGACAATTAATTAACTTGTTTGAAATATTTAAGGGGGAGAAATCCCAGGATGTATCAATATCAATGCATAAGCAACGCAATTACAGGAAGAGTAGAAAGTCCCCTTGAAGTGCATCTCAGTTTTTGGGTGACAAAGGACCTGGACTGCCTCTGCAACTCCTCAGGGCTGCTACGGCTTATAACCTCAGCGTTATTCTCTACGGCATTTTAACACACAAAACAAGAGACACAGTGATAATTATTTACAAGTAAATGATGTTGTTTAGATAATCTTCAAATTAAGCAAACATGACCTTCGTCTCTGGAATCTGGATTGCATTTCTTGCAACCGCTGTCATCAGCTTCTCTCCATCTGTGAACGCCCAGGGTAACTGCTCTTATTTCTGTCAGTCACTATACATACATACATATATATTTGGGATTGGGATTGGGATTTGAATCCTTCACACACCCTATTTAATTATTTTTTAATTCAATAGTGTCCAAATGGTAATTATGACATTAAAATAAATAAATTAATACTGTCGTCATTTAATTACTTTTAAAAATAAATCCATAATACTTATTTATAATAATTATTAAATGAGTAGTGTATTTATTTTAATGTTATCATTAGTAATCTGTCTCTGTTAAATCAAATAAATCATTGATTGAATTGATGAAATGATGTGCTGAAAGAGGAGTCAATTTTAAAAGACTCATATATGATAATATGTTGGTAGATTCAAAATCCCTAATATAAAGTTTTCTCAACAAAGAGTTACAATGACAAGAGAAATGGTGCATTTCTGATGAAGATCAATAGGCACTACTTTCACGGAGATTAATTACTTACTCATCGACCATCGTTAGTTAAAGTTAATTAATATTAATAATCAATTTAATTATGTCATCTCGAAATCAAAATATTTGTTGTTTAATATTGCGGGTCCCATTTATTAGACCCACCTGTAAGAGATGTATCCACACAAATTATGGGTGTGGGGTGTGTGCGAGCAGGAGCTCAGGTCGGGATCACATATGGAAGAAACGCAGAGAATCTGCCAACACCAAGCCAGGTGGCGGGTTTCCCCACACAAAATTTGAACTACTCGATCCCTATTCTCCGTTTACTTGACGCTGATCTTCAGGTCTTGCAAGCTTTCAGACGCTCCAACCTTGTCCTCACCGTCACCCTTCCCAGCGACCAAATCCCCTCGGTCGCTTCCTCCCAATCCGCCGCCGCCGCCGACTGGCTCGACCGAAACATCTCCCCCTTCATCTCTTCTCTGAACGGCACCATCAGGTTCCGCTAAATCGGCGTCGGCAACGAGCCCATCCCCGGCCCCGACGCCTCATTGGTGGCCCCGGCCATGAGAAACCTTCACACCAAGCCCTTATCTCTAACAAGGTGCCCTACGACGTAAAGGTCACAACCTCCGTATCCCCTAAAGTTCTGGGAAAGTCCTACCCTCCGTCGGCAGGTCAGTTCGAGGACAGTGTCTCCAACTTCATGACCGATGTCACCAACTTCTTGCATTCCATCGGAGCGCCGCTCCTAATAAACGCGTACCCTTATTCTGCGCTGGTGAATGATCCGCAGCACGTAGCTCTGGAGCCTGTTTTGTTTCAGGCGAAAAAGCCGCTGGTAATTGACGGAGAGCCGGAGTACTTTAACTTATTTGACGTGATGGTGGATGCTTTTGTGGCGGCGGCGGCAAAAGTGGTTGGGCGGGAGGGGGTGAGGGTCGTGGTGTCGGAGACGGGGTGGCCTGTGAAGGGGAACGAGCCCTACACTTGTGTGGAGAATGCCAGGAATTATAACAGAAACTTGAAGGACCACGTCGAGCGAGTTGGGGGCACTCCTAGGATGACAAACTACTTGGAGGTTTATATATATTCCATGTTTAATGAGGACTCGCAACCTGATTTGGTGGGAAGAAATTTTGGGACTTTCAATAATGATTTCACTGAAGTTTACCCTATTTGGCACAGAATTAATCAAGTGCTTGATAGAATCCATTTATATATATGCATAAATATGTTGTCCACCTTGAATAGTACTGTTACTGGCACTTACTTTGTATCCCAGCGTGGGCATATCCATTCCATTCCATTGTGGCGTTTAGCATATCTAAAGAGATTCATAACATCATAGGTGGAAACAAACATATTTTAAGTAATATAATTTTTATAATTATGTAATATTTGGTACTGTCAGGATAAATTTAAGTATTGTTAAATCTAATAGTGATAGCTTTACGAACGTGAATTTTTTCATCTACGAAGTTTGAACTAAAAATCATATTCAATGGGCCCAACCATCGTTAGTCGATTTAACAAATATGTTTGTCTGATTGACAAGGAGGGAAGTGGTAGCCCCAAAAAGAGCTTGGACTTCTGTTTGTACAGCCAGCCCAATAGAGACATGGGAATAATGCCATAATAAGATTGATCTGTAATCATATTCTGAACCGAATAGAAGGTACAAACACTCAATTCTCCAGGGTCCAGACACTCCAAGAAAAACCCAAGACTATGGTTGTTAGCAAGTGTTATTTTAAAGCTTTATAATTTCTCACAATTCTTTTACCATAAACATCTTCATACAAACTCGATGTTAATAATGCGCCATGATAATTTTATACCCCATCAATATCTATATATATATATTAAGATTATGAACGTACAATAATGTACATTATGAAACACAAACAACCACAATATGTTAAGAATAAGATGAAAGTTACAAAAGAATACGGGTAACACGAATGAGGATTGAAAGTTAGAAAAACAAGAATCCTCAGTCCCCAACAGGCAACGTATTTCCGAATCGAATGCCATAAATGGAGCCAAGTTTGTCGGATCCAAGTGAAGAAGAGATAGGCAAGGATTGACCCTGGTGAAAAGGAAAGCCCCCTCGGTTTTTTTTGGGGGGGGGGTAAATTTAGTGATATTTCAGTTGACAAGGAGGTGCAGTCGGCCATAATCGAGTTTGCGTGTCGTTTTTCATTTGGAAGCCTCAAAAACAGCAAGAGGAAGCAGAGGAGAAGACTTTGAGTTTCAAACCCCACAACCAAACAAACCACTGCTTCCAAACACCATATGCTGATGTAAGTGCCGAGCACACCGCACAGTGTTTGTCCTCATTGCACCTCAATCTCCGCCTCTCCTTCAAATCCCATTTTTGGAACACGTCAAACCCAACACGATGCTCTCTCCGGCATATGCGAATCCGCAACACTGATTCCTCTTACATTTTTGATTCCTTAACGTCACATGAGATACATGACACCACCATCCCAATCCCCAATACCACGCCGTACCCGGATCCTCCTATTTGTCAAATTTTTCACTTCTCCATTCCCCATACTCATCCCAATAAAAATTCAAAAACAGAGCCCTGGTTGACTTCTCAGACAATCAAACCCGACACTTATTCTTACCAACTCTACCATAAACTATTGACAAAGACAACAGCAACAGTACAACAGTGTCCGAGTTTTCAAACTCGCTCTTTCTTTTTCCTTTATTATAAACAAAAAAAGTCCGACCAAGCTGGTCCAAAAGATTCTGCTCTCTCTCTGCCCTCTTGTTTCTCACGCTCCATACTCAGAAAGTTACCACATGAACAGCAACAAGTATAAAATAATAGTAATAATATTACAAATTTCGACGTTGTCGTTTCAATTTCAACGCTTTCGTTGTATCAGTCTCTTCCTTCTTCTTCTATTTCCCACCGCAGTATTTTCAAAGAATGCTTCGCCGTTGCACCTACGCCACCTCATTTCCAGGCACCGCTCCACTCGAAGCTTCGAAAGGACCGAATCAATGCACAAGGCACACCATTTCATGCTCCGCCCAGCACGTCGTCGTCTTTTTTCTTTTTTCTTTTTTAAATAATTACTGTTAGTGTTATGTAGGCTCATTCATTGGCGAGTCAAGTGAAACCAAATATTTGTTGTATGTACGCGTGGCGCCGTTGATCGCGTTAGAATCGCTGGGACACCGAAACGTGGCGTCGTCTGAGGTGTGGAGAGACGATGGAGATGAGACCGCCTAGTGGGGGCCTCATCTTTGACCTATAAATCATCTCGTCGTACGGCCTTCTGTAGAACTTCAAGAACGGCAAGAAAGATTCCCGACACCTGTCCGCCCTGCTGACGTGGCCCTCCTTCCTGAAGAACACGGCCGGCGAGTGCAGGAACGAGGGGCGCGGCGTCCTCCTGGGCGTCGCCACCTCCTTTGGCGTCACGCGCTGCGGCAGCGGAGTGGAGGGGAACAGGCTCTTCCTCGCGGCCAGCCTGGCGCTGACGTCCCCGCGGGGGCCCCTGGCCACCGGCGAGGCGAAGGAGAGGGAGCGAGCGTTGAGCGGGGAGATGAGCGAGGGGCCCAGGTTAGTGGGGCCCACCTTGGAATCTGAGGTGTCGGTGAAGCTCAGGTACCAGGGCTTAAGGGAGTCGAAGTGATGGGAGACGGTGAAGGAGAAGCGAGAGGAGGAGCAGGAGCCGATCTTGGCCGTCGACTTGATGGTGGAGGGGTCGAATCGGAGGGAGGAGCAGGCTCTCGGGTAAGCCGCCATGTCGTTGAAGTCCAGCGATTCCTCAAAGTCTAGGGACGATACTACCGTTGTCGTAGTCGATAACTCCACAAATGCCCGCACTCCCTGCACCCAATCATCCCCACTATCAATTGTTTTATTTTATTTTTATCACACCTCAACTCAATATTTTAATAACTAGCTAGTAACAGCAGAATAAATTTTTTAGTAATTTTTCAAAGTGTCCGAAACCTCAAATCAACAAGAGATGAAACTATTTTTTTACTTTTCTGGTATTCAATAAATTTAAATGGCCTTGTGAATGAATATATATTCCCTGTGGAGAATGGGTACACATTAATTGGAGTGGTGTGGATTGGTGATGTGATTGTGGGGGGTAAAAGGAAGAGGAGAAAGCAAAAAAGGATGTGTGCGCGCGTGTTATGATCGGGGCTGGGATGCATGTGCAATTGTGCATGGCTAGAAGGGTATAACAATCCGAGACAAGGAAACGGGCACAGGTGGGCGAGGTCATTTTCGATGTCTTTCCCTCCTCATAATCCAAAACAGTAGTAGTACAGCATTATGTGAACAGCAAGCCCCGGAAATCAAAGGTGCTCACAGTGCATGCCTGTCTCCAAATTCAAAATGGTTGACCTATACACACAATCATGGTAACCACAATTTTGATGACACTGGGACAGACTCGGTGGGCTGGCTAAAAGTAATGCATTGATGAGGAACAGAGCATGCAGAGGCGTCGCTGGCAAGTGAGTATTGTAGCAGGCTAGCAGCCACAAGTAGGCATGGCTGTTAAATTAAATTAAAAGAGACAATGGAAAAGAAGAGGAATACCTTCCAGACATAGGAGAAGAGAGAAGGAGGGTCTATGACGAAGGCTTTGTATAGCCGACCAGGGTAGTACTCTCCCACAATTTTCAGTGCCGCCAGCAGCGAGTTCGTAAAAGCAGACGCCGACCTGTAAAAGCCTGCACATGCCAACACCCCCTTTCTCTCAATTTTACAATTCACTACACCTGCCACCCTCTTCGAACTACAATAATTTATTTAAGGATGCATCGCATCCTGAGTTCATTTCAAATGCACCAATTCTGCCACAGGATATTTGCATTAATTATCGCTCCAATTCCCGATAATACCCCCCTCTCAATTGGGGGAAAAAAAAACACCTCACTTGTTTATTAATTCTCCTCATGTTTATATTTCAAAAACGAGACGAGGCTATGATGGGAATTCGAGAGGTGGACTTACTCGCGTCAAAAAGCATCACAAACTGTTCGACGTTTTTTGGCATGGTCGAGATGGCCACTTCCAGTGTGAACACCAGCAATCGAGAAAACCTTCACCATTTTCAAATTACAACACCCGAACCATTACTATTTGGTCACTGTGACACATATAATATGCCCGAGGAAATGTCTGGGTTTTAAATTCTTACAGTTTCTGGGAATGTAACTTCTGGTAGTCTTGCTTCATCCGGAATATCTGCAGTTGCCCCGATTTCAAACCATCGAACAGACTTCAGATTCCAGAATAAAACGGCAAAACGTCTCTGTTTTTTAAACAGGGAGACAGGGTTAGTGAAATTACCACAACAGGTCTGGATTCATCGTCGTGACCGGCTACATATGCCAACCCGTCGGAAAGTTCGGCCGAGAACTCGTCTGCTATCAGATGCTCTGTTTTTGCAATATTCTGAATCATCAGTTATTCTCAAAAGAAAAGAGAGAAGCTTTTTCTTTTTTATTTGGAGTGACTCTCATGATTACTATGAGGGGGCGGGTTTGAACTGTTTGTTTTAAAACTTAACTGATTCAAAAAAAGCAAAAAAGCAAGATTCTCTGGTGGAGGAAGAAAACAAAAAGAGAAACTCTATTATTCAAGAAACGATAGAGTTTGTGTCGTTACAAAATTTTTCACGGCAAGCAGGAAAGAAAAGGCTTTGAAAAAGAGAGGCATTAGAAGAAGAACAAGAAAAATAAAAGCTAGCATCTGTGTTGCGTGTGGGTATATTACCAGTGCCTATACTCTCTCTCCAAGACAAACAAGCCCTGAGTTGCTTTGCAGCTTTTTTAACATTATCCCCCTTGGCCTTCAGAAACCGTTCTACGCAAGCGTAGTTGCAGAACTTCTCCTACACATCAACAATAAGACAATCTGTACATCAGAACCACACCGAGACCCCATTTTTGTGGTAGCAATGAAAAAAAATAACAAGGGTGAAAGGAAATATAAAAATCACGAACCTGTTTAACAGTGAGCGGGGTTTGTTTTCTGATGAGGTCAAGAACAGCTTCAACTTTGGCATTGTCTCTGTGATCCGCTGGCTCTTTCTTGCCCATGACGAGAAATAGCTGGGTAGAGAGATTAAAGAAACGCGACGGACAATGATTGATATTAGCGTTCCAACGAGAGACTAATATGCCAAGCTTTTGGCTCACGCAAGCATGAATAAATTAAGAGGCGGGGTTCAATTTGGAACTAGGTAGGCATTTGTGGGATAGAAAACTGAGGAAAACGAAGGGTGGGAGGATGAGTTTTAATTTGGAATTCAAAGGGCGTATATATAGGGAAACAACGGCCCGTAACGGCGTTATCCGAGAAAAGCCCACTCACGCATGCAAACCCACTCATGTTATTAAAGCCTTTTGTGAAAGCGTCAACACTTCCACTCCTCCCTACTTTTTGGTCAATGCATTGTTTAACGGAAATCGTCACCCCCCCCCCCCCCAAAAAAACAAAAAAAAAAAAAACCAAACGATTCCATCCTAGTCCAAACATTTTTTATTTCAACCATCTCATTTTCTTTCCATTCCACTAAATTATAGAACATTCTACATTCACATGCTTAGATTTATTGCAAAATTTATTTCTCATCTTACTTATACTGATTATCTCTTTTTTAATACATTTTATATAGTTTTATAAAAACATGATATTTTGTATAATTAGCCTTCAGACTTGTTCTAAAATCTTCTTTCAGGTATTATACGTAGTGAGGAAAATTCATAAATTTTTTCATCCATTGTTGGTGGTCAATCCTTTTCAAAAGTTTGATCAAGGTTGTTAAGCCAAGTCTTGATCGTGATGAATGAGTATGCATTGTTAGATATGTGAGTGTGTGGGATAGAAAAGGGTTTAGCAACGTGGAGATGAAGTGAGGAAATTAAATGAGGAGCAGTATAGGGGGGCAAACAGTCGGGAATGAACATTGAAGGTGACAGAGAGAGTGAATAATGAAGAAGTGAAATGCGGGGTGAAAAAAGAAAAGGCTGCATGCAGTGGCATGGGGAGTGAATAAAGGGAGAGGTACATGGCCATTTGAGGGAATGAACAATCAGGCAAGGGCTTTGCTCAGGCCAAAACCAGAAGCAGCACGTGAACGGATATTGCGGGATAAGTAGACGTATCATTTGTGAATCATACTCCCTCTTCTCTCTTTCTCTTCCCCTCTCCCTCCCTCACTATCCTCTCCTTTCTGGATTCTAGCGTCTTTGTTCATATATTATAGTCGTTTCTCTCTCTTTCTCTCTCCCTCCTCAACCCTTTTCTACCTAGCTGCTATATTTATCCATCTCTCTCTCTTTCTCTCTCTCTCTCGGATGTGTACATGGCCGTCTCCTGTGAATCAACAGTGATGGTGTTGTTTCTTGCGTGAATTCAACCTCATGCATATATATTAGCTTTTCTTCTCTTAAATATCCATCACTCGCCTTCTCAATACAAATTCTTGATTCCTAGCCACGTCAAATCACCACACTCTCCCCTAACTTATATTTCATACTTCGTGTATGCAGAGATTTTATTGCCTTCAATGCCCACTTTGACTTTGTTATGCATCAATGTTGACAGTGATGCGCATTTCTATATTAGACTGTATACATATCCGCGTACATGTATATTTTGGTTGATGAATATCACTACAGTACTATATATAGGGCATCGCAATTCAAAATGATATGCTTGCATAATTAATGTGGATGCAAGGAGGATAAATTAAATGCATGGTTTTGCTTAACAAGACCGTAATATTAAAGTAGCCGTGGATGGTTAAATGCTCTCGCGAACTCTGTTGGGAGACAGGGACAACATAGATAGGTCGAATGCACGAACCCACAAAAACTCGTGTGGGTTGCGCAGGTCAAACCTCGATACTTGTCATCTCTCCTCCACATTAGTATGAGAGTTCGTAGATTCACAATACTGTAGTAAGAGACACATCAAATTGATGAAACCAAAAGTAATTCAAGTCCCGTGCATGAGAATTCCAAGTCCGTTGTCCTTACGGCAACGACCCTGCACACCACCCCCACAATATCACCGCCATTAAAACACAGATGGGGAAAAAAAAATCATTGTCCCAACATTCTTTACGTGCGAAGTCTTCAATTCCCCTGTCTATTTTGAGGTTTTTTATTCGGAGCTCTTTAATAGTCTAGAACCGTGTAGCGGGTTTACCACATTTCGAAAGAGAAAGTCAAATAGTAGGTGGAAATAGAATAACAAGTAAAAGGAAATGGTCGTCGGTTCACTGAGAGAGTGGGGGAAAATAAAAGAAAAACAAGAAGAAGAAGAGTTGTTGGGGCTTAGAGACTGGTGAGGCATGAATATTAAGAGAGCCAAACCGATATTTAGGCTGCTAAGTTGGGGTTCCCAAAGCTTAAAGTTGTAAGCTTTATCGTTTAAAGTTAAAATTAATACGCACAAATTAAAAGCTGGAAGTAAGTGTGAGATCTGTTTCACTTGTCCTCATTCAAATACCAGTCAGATTCTCTTGTCTTTCTAAAAAAATAATATCCCCCCTTTTTTATTTTATTTTTAACGATGACTTGCGATCTGGGATAAAATTAAACCAATAATATATACCAAGTTTTTGTTTAGTAAGAAGATCAAACAAGTATGAATCCATGGGGAGGAAGAAAGAAGGCTATAGCTATACAGCCTATGATGGTGTTGCTTGAAAGCCCTCCCACGTGGCCCAATTGTACTGAAGTTGTTTCCCTGATGTATTTTCAAAATTATAAACTCATTCACCTACCCTTGATGAAAAAATATGAACCGAAAAAAAAAAAAAAAAAGCTTTTGATTGTTTCTCCTTCTGCCTCTCCTCTCTCATTTTCAAAATTTGAAACACCCCTTCTGTCTCCCTCTCTTTTCTTTGCCTCATATATCTAACATAATGGCCAAACGCATACCTTTTCAGCCACCAACACAGCACAACCACATCATGATTGAATCATTGCCTTTTAAATTTCAAAGTGTACATTGCTTTTACTTTCTACCCACCTTCATCCACTCTCCCTCTCTCCCTCTAGATCTGTGTGTGGCTGTGTGCCAACAAAAAAAGCGTTCACATGTATATAATAATATATAGACCAGTGCACCACCACTGTAGAAGGTTATACTACATATAATGCAAGAGAAACTGGAAAGCTTGCCTATACCCCACCGAAAAAAAAAAAAGACAAAGAAAAAAGAAAAGAAGAAGAAGAAGAATAAGAAGAAGAAGAAGAAGACTGGGGAGGACCCATGTGTCTGATTTATGACCCGAAATGGACACAAATAAGGTGAGGCTTCACGTTTTGTCCAAAATGATGACTAGCCAAAGATATTATGGGAATAGACTGCATTAATTCGTAGCAGCATTCATATCTACTTCATAAATGCCTTGTTTAACTAATAATTTACTCTTTCGTTCTGTCTAGGCAAAAATAAAATAAAATAATATAAATAAAAAAACTAATCATCTCCTACTGTACCTTTTTCTTTGCTTCAAGAGAAAATTAGACGTGAAGCCTGTTAATATTTCAAGAGAAAAATAGTATGCGTAGATTAGTTTTATAGACGCACTTGTAGGGAAGCTAATTAAATGTATACTAAAAGCTATTACTTTGGATGACATGATGTACAAGGTTTCTATTTTTAAGAAACTGAAGATGTCTTATTATCAAAAAAAGGAAAAAATAAATAAAGTAATTTGGAACTCAAAAGTGAGTTGAATTGATTTTGCAAAGCAACAGCCGTAAAGCACCGAATGATATCAAACGGTAACTTATTAGTTGTTCATATCATTTTCCAACTTTTTCTAAACCTTATGACTCAAAATCAATTAATTCCTACCATTTTGAACCCAAAGCACTTGATTCGCTAAAATATTTATTTTCCAACCAGAAATTTGACTAAATGAGACGTTGGTTCGTTAACCTTTCTCATGCAAGTAGTTGTTTTTTTTAAAAAAAAAAATCTAATAACTTAGTAAGATGACAAAGAAACTACTAATGATTTGACTATATACATGCTGATTTTTGACTTTGCTTTATGCGGTTAATAATAATGTCTGTGATTCTTAAATCCCAACCGTTACAAAAGCAAACCTCTAATTGCACAAACTTTGCTTGGCTTTCTTTGTCACAAAAAGCACCTAAAAAAAAGAAAAAATCGTGGCGAACGGCCAACTTATTAATCAATGGTTTTCCCACTTCGATTCTGCAACTTGGACCCGCATCGATTCAAAAAATAAAAATAAAAACAAGTGTCATTTTTACGTTCTTATAACTAGTTGCAAGGAGAAAAACAATTAATCAATGAATATTACAGAGAACTACATTACACATTAATTGTGTAACACACATTACGTGCTGTCCATTTCTCCTTTCAATTCTTTCGTTTTCAATTGTTTTCAGATGAAAAGGAAGTCCAAATTACTCAGACGAGTTTGAATAATTACTTCCCAGGCCAGTCTTCATTGTTAATGCAAAAAAATAATACGATTATTAGTTGCTAGTAATGTTGGGAAGCATGTGTCAAAATCTTGATGTGGATGTGCTACCAATTCATTAAAATTTTTTTGTCTCACACGTATACAGGCGGTGAATTTTCTTGCTTCACTAGTGTTACGTTTTCTACTTCGAAACCATTGATTTTCTTGAATTGACACATTAATTGTCATGTCGGTGATTAAATAATGATGCAACATGCCTAACGGCATTAGTAGACAGTAATTAACTTTAATTTCATGTTATGTTCCCGTGAAATTAATTTGGATCAGAATAAACTAAATTTTGTAGATTTATTGAATGTCAATGATAGGGGGTTCATAGACTTCAAGCAAACTTGAATTATAAAAAAATCGTTGAATTTCAGTAGAGGATTTTTGAAGATTGGATACAAAAAAATGAGATGAATTGAAGAAAATAAGGCAATGATAAAGATAACAGTTTGTAATAATCGAAGGAGACAATAGGTTTGAAGCTAATTAAAGTTAACAGTGGAAGCCCAGCTAATGAGATTAGATTCACCCATTTCTCAACTTTTAGGGTGGAATAATTCGTATTAATTTAATTTAAACTAATATAAAATAAGCCGTAATTAAGCCATATGGATGTGGTTAAAGTTAGTTAGTAGGACCCTCAAGAGTTGTCTCTTAATAATTTCACTTTATAAAGATATGGGAAAGCATAAGCCAGAAGGAAGGAAAGTGGAGGCAACATACCCCACTTTGATTTTTTTTTTTTTTTTTACCTTCATAACTGATAAATCAACTCAGTGAAGCAAAATAACTTAATTATTTTAATTTTAACTTGTTCGCATGACACGTATATTTAAATATCTTCAGACAGATATACAAACGAAATGGATTTTTGACGGCCTTGAAAAGCCTTCAGCGAGCTAACGCTAGTTCTTTTTCAGTTCTCCATTTTAATTTGTTCGCCAACAAGAAAAGATAAAAAAAAATTAATACTTAAGCTCATAAAATTAATTAGATATTTTTTAAGCTAATTTACGATGGGTAATTTTGCAAAGAATTGCACACTTTGTTATTAGTTTTTGTGATTAATACTTTTAACTTATTTTTAAACTTTAAATCTTCTTATTATAATTTGATTATTAAAAAATGTCCTAGTCTAAATACTTGAATCTTGTTAAAAATAAAAATAAAAATAAAAATAAAACTACCGTATATAGTGAATATACTGCACTTTCTTCCCTTAAAGTATCTTTAAACTATGTTGTTTTTTCTTTCATTTGAAAAGATGAGTGATAAGGTTACATTTTACCTAATATAGAACTAAATAATTCTTTGGAATTATAATGAATTAAATTTAACTATTTTAAACTAAATAAATGTATTTTTATGTTTCAATAGAATAAAATAAAATAAAATATTTTGATCTTTATCTTTTATTTTTAAAATTATTTTCACCATAATGGAGGGGCTGTGGTCTGTGGAGAATCAAAAGGCAGCTTGAAAATCTCCGAAAGATTAGGCTGAGAGAGGAGACTCCATTTATTTTGAAGGCAATGAGTAAGTTGCATTGAGAGATCAAGTCATGGACCGGTTGATCCAATGGGTCTGACCCACCCAGTGACCAAGGTCCATGGACTGAGCCTGAGCCTGAGTCTGGACCCCCCACTAAATCCTTCAAAAGTTCATATAATCCCATTATTAGTACTGAAGCCCCACAATTATTTCATTATTGTGTTTGTCACTTAGCTTCCTTTTCTGAAATGGTCATGTGTCTTCCCTCTTTACTCTCTCCCCCTAATCATTCTTTTCCTCAATTTGTGCCCCCACTCGCCACTAACACCACCTTCTCATCATTTCAACTCTCTTCCGTGAACAAAAATACAAATCCACATTATTACTCCTTTACCCTCACTGAATTAACTCTGAAATATTGGCCCTCTAAACAATAATTTTACACCATTTACTGATCCATTCAATACATATTGGCGTGTAGCCTCTTAGGTTCCTCACCTGGTCGGTACGGTTTATGTTTTAGCCTTTAGGGCTTCAGGCTTTGCACCGACAAAGCATCACTCTGGGCTCTGGCTTCTGTCTTGGTTTCTTTCACATGCTCCTGATCCCTTAGTTATAACATACTACATGGGGTCTTTAATATATTAATTTGCTTTATATTTTTTGTTTGGTTATTTTAAATGTTCTTGGATTACAGTTACCGCCTCCTTGTAGCCAAACAGTACTGAATGAGAACTCTTAGGTAAGTCGTCCGTGTGAAGGAAATTATTGCTATGATCTGTCGAATTCGAGTATGCAAGAAAATTGTGACTCTTGGAGGGCACCCCAAGTAAAATAGGTACAGTAACAGGAAACTAACCCTTTCGTGAGACTCCTCAACAGAACCATTGTTCTTGCTTCAAATGCAAGAGGATTCCCTATTTGCTCCAAGAATCATTCTGAATATGGCGCCTTTTTTTACCATTAATATCCAACCCAAATGATGATGAAAAGATAAGTCAAACTTCTGCACAATTAAATGGATAACAAGAGAGACTTCTTGTTTGCGGTCCAAGAATTCTACAGTAAAGTGGGATTCTTCTTCTACAAGAAAGGAGGATCTGAAAATGATATTTTACCAGCAATGTTCGAGAATTTCATTATGATTCTTGCCTGCAAGAGAATGTAAAATGCACCAAAACATGAATAGTGACGTTACAAAATCTTCACCCTTTTTTTCTAAGCCATGCCTATAATTTCTTTTCTTCATCTCTCTCATCTTCCACCTGCACGAGCCTCACCCACATCACACAATGGGGTGGGTTCAGCCCTTCATCTCTTCGTTGAAGAAGCTCTGGCTCAGATTGCATTCTACTCGAAAGAAAAGTACGTTCTATCACACTCTCCACAGCAGCATTCTCAGAGTTCTCTCCTCTGCATGCTAATTTTCACCAGAAAATCACCTCGCTTCACTTGCATTTCGTCACATTTATATCAACGAGACGTATTGGTGGTCTCTCTATACGTTCATTTCCACCAGGATCACTCCATTTCTCTACTGTTTTTTTTCCCCTCAAATTGCCGCCGCCAAATTAAACGTTTAACGACGCTGCTTTAACATTTCAGGAAGAGGGATTTACATTTTGTACGATGATGTTCGCTCTTGCCCTTGTGAAGATGTTCACGTCCTCTGGTCCATGCTAGTGGGATCACATACACACTTTGCCATCGAAAAAATGAAGTCATGTACAGGATACAAAAATGAGAAGAGACGCACATTGTACATAAATAGTTTATAGATTTAGTTTTTTATTATGTCCATGCCTATTTTTAGTGTTTTGTCTCTTCAACTTTTGTAGAACCCATATAGAACAGTTTCTTCCTTTCAACATGCGTTTTATGAAGCTTCCACTCAATCAGTACTCGGAAATACATGTTTTTCTTTTTCTGAATCTCTCCCAATTTCTAAATTTCATCTATCTTTACAATCAATGTATTGTAGACGTACTTGAAAAGTCCCCCCCCCCTCTCGATGGGGCTTCCTATTGGTAGGCTACCAATTTTTTAACAGTACAGGTGGCCAGATGTTCCTTTTTCTCCTAAATTGACACTTAAGATCTACTGCGTAATATACAGCACAACCTACACAATTTTTGCTCTCGTTTGAAATGTCAAAGTTCAAACCATAGCTTCTACAAACTTCTATTTTACTCACCAGCTATGTAAGACGAGCAACAATGGTTTATACTACCAGCAAAAGCCATTTTTCATGATCCCCTCATGGCCTTTGCTGTATATGCGTATTTTAACTTTTCATGTAGCCCGAAAGCCTAGACATGAAAATTGAGCTTGACGCATCCAAAAGATCATCATCATCTAGTATTTAATCAAGACATACACGCTATAAGATTTACAAGTTTTGTGTTTATTATACAAGTTCCCAAACGCTTGAAATTAAATATCCCATATACCAAATAACAACTGTCCTTTGACACGTGGAGAAGAAATGCAATCCAGAAATGAACTGTGGCTCAACCAAAATTAATGACAATGAGGCTAATCTCAGTCACCAGCAATGAGACGCTTTATAGTCTATACCCATTTTCTTAATAACTTAGCACCTTAAAAGGACATGCACTTAGAACATCTAAATATTGATTCTAGTAATGCTAAAGTATGATTATTGATCCGCATACAAGCTGTGTAAGATCAAAAGCCGCGGCTATGTCACCTCAAAGTGGGGGGAAATCCATCTTAGGATTTGATTTCAAAACACGCCCTCTGGGGAGGAAGACCATGACAGACCACAATCTTCAGGTAAACTCTAGTTCATTTTCAACAGATACTGTAAGAAATAGGAATTCCAGGATCGCAAGGTAATGAAAATTTGTCGAGTGTCAACAAAATGATTTAAAAATAAGCCACACCTTATTAGCTTACAGAAAATAGGCTTCCTCATTCAATCATATATTAAGAGCTATAGGGAAATCAGAAATGTCTTTAACGTCCTTAACGTCTCCAACAATGTTGAAAACAACGGCCATGCTGACTGATGCAACCAAACTGCAAGGAATAGCAATGCTGAGCGCAGGACTCTAGCGATTTCTTTAGCAGCAGACTGAGGTAGAGATCAGCTAAAACTGGAGTAATCTGCAGATAAAAAGCATTCACAAATCAAAACCAATGAAAAGAATCGAATAGCGTTCGTATTACTATTTGATCCCACAATACTAATGAAATAATGAATAAAATATTTTGACAACCACACGTGAATAATTCTTTTCATTTTAAAAATAAAGAGTTGAGGAGGAGTTTGGGAGTTCAAAAAACTATGCATTAACTGCAACTTCCTATCAAAGTTTCTATGTTGGAGAGACAATGAGACCAATCTCTTGCAGACTGCAAATCCATATATAGTAAATGTGCTGGTTTGTGCAGAAGCTGCTTAACAAAAAATGATCACCGGGGGGGGGGGGGGAAAAAGATACTGTGCCACGGTCAAGTTCTTACTCAAAAGCATCTCTATTTTATGTGATGATGGGTGATTTATATCGAATTGACTTAATTACCATGTTTCTAAATTTTGTACTTTTTTAATAATTGCATTCTTTTAGTTTTGCAGACTAAAAAAAGAATAACAATTATCATGCATAGTATTTTGTTTTTTGGTACAATTCTTTGGTAAATAATATTAAGCACGACTACGACAGCACAGGTTTGGTTCCACTAGTGGACAATGGCTGAAGCAGGCTAAAAATTATGCTGTAGAATTGGAACACAAGTAAATACAAGATAATGATCACAATGGCATTGAATAAGGCCAAAAGCTCCACGACATACAAAAGCCCAACTCCTTACCTGAAGGAGGAAAAAAGGCAGTGACATTGAAGATATAATTCGGAATAATTCAAGCAAAAATTAGTGAGACAAATCGTTTGGACTACACTCTGCACAGTATCCTGAATTAAGAAGGGTAAGCTGAAGTTTTTTCATCCAACTTAAGCTTTAAATCGTTAGATTGACACAGCAAGTGGCCAATGGTCATGCCATTTTAGTAAAAGTAATCATGCCAGCGGTATATCTTATAACATGACTACTTTTTCGTTGTGAAATCTTGTAAAAAGTGCAAATATCCCTCAGGCATATAAGTATTGGATTTAATAAGGTATAAAGTTCACACTCCACAGAATATCATGCAAAAGCTAACATAAGCGGCATAGGTGACAAGTTTGACAATGTACAAAAAAAAAAAATAATAATAATAATAATAAAAAATTCAGTCGTGAAGCAAGTTTGACAAGACTGAATTTTTTTTTTTTTTTTTGGTCTGAGAAGATCACCATTGCTCTCACCTCTTAATCAACAAGAACAATAAAAGTGTAAATAAAGTTATTGCTAGTAAAATATCAGAGTCAAAACTCTTTCACAGATCGTGATAATATGAGGGTCTTACAGCTCTATAAAGCTGCTGATGAGGGGAGTTCATGAATACTTGATAGCCAGTCCTTTAGATAGGCATGACAATGTGCCTCCGCTTGAGATAGAGCAGCAAGAGGAGTAACAGTGATCTAAACAAAAAAAAAAGTTGCTTATCAACAGTTTTTGCATTCAATAATTTAATTAATGAAAGAAGAAAATACTCACATATCCTTTCTTCAAAAATTTGTGATCTGTATCACCATCATCAAGGTGAGGACCTTTTGCCTACAAAATTTAAGAGTTCTATTAGTGGGGGTAGAGGGGGAAGGCCATAGAAGACCCACCTCTGATTTCAGTGGGAGCCTTTTGGGTCTACAGCTTCATATTTACTTCATAAGCAGACAAAATTAGATAATCAAACTATCCTAGGTTTTGAACAGATCCAAACATAGGCCAACCGAGCACAAAATCAAGTCATGCGACTTGAATAGGATTTATTAATGTGAGTGTTTCATCTGAGGACCATGAAAGATACAAAAGCATCAATGAATATGAAACTTTCAAGCACAAAATGAAGAATAAAGAAAAGGACCCACTTCTCTCCTGAATAAAAGATGTTCTGGTGATACAGATGATGTGTTAGTTTCTGTAGGTACTGCTGTATCTACATCCATGGTCATTGTAGATGACATTCTTTCTCCTTGTGTCCCTGAGGTCACTTGCTTCCACCCCATCTTGAAAAAACTTTTTCCCTGCTTTGTTAGCCTGTACCCCTTTTAATGAGGCACAGGTAAGAACCAGGGATAATAATTAAAACAGACTGCGTGGCAAAGCAATTCTCTGTATGCAAAGGTCAACAATAGTAATTGTATGAAATGTTAAGTCAAATGTTAACCACAATATAGAGTATATGAAATTTCCTAAGACAAATATTTGAAACAAGATTTCAAAACTAGCTCAAGGAAGACAAATCAAGGATAAAATGCATCAATTCGTAAGAGAACGGCTTATATTCTTCACATGAAATTAGATGTTAGAACCTTGCCGCATTTTGAGCTAATTTGTACAGAACAGACAAATATTAATCATTTAGGCTCTTCTTAACATATCAAATCCAAAAAGATATCATGTAAGTAGAAGATGAATATGATGCATTGGTATTTTATAGGATTGAGAATAGAGAAGCACAAGTACTTATAAAAGCAAATTGAAAGCAGGCAAAAGGGAGATAAAGGCTAAGATGCTGCATGAAAAATATTTTTTGACAATAGAAGGTTCACTAAAAGACTTAAATTTGAAACCTCTACCAATTTGAGGACACAACTGCACTCTAAAAAATTTTAGTAGGAGCTTTATCTGAAGGGAAGAATTTTTACAGAAGATAAACTTTTCTGCATGCAAAGGGTGGCAATGTATAAAAAATGTTCATTCAATTATAAAATGAGGCTATTAACATTGAATGTGTCTGTGCCAGAATCCTCATATTAACTCGTAAATCAAGATTTCTGCAAGTCAATTCATATTCTGAGCAAACATATATAAAATGTTCATTTAGATATAACACAAGGCAACTTGGTGATGCATATTCTATTTATCCACAACTAAACATGCAAAATGCTACAATTCTGACACCATACCTTATGATCAGCAATATTAGCTGGCAAATCTACATTCAAAAAGCAGCTTTGTGGGTATCTTTGATTCTTGATCTCAACCAGTACTGCACTTATGATAGGTAGACATGCTTGAGCAGCAAGGGAAAAGTCATGTTCGTTACTCTTTCCCCTAACCCTGGGTGTTAGTCCTCCAAATGGTCAGAAAAAAGCAACAAAAAGAAACTGCAGTAGTAGGAGATAAAAACAAGAAGGTTGGCATAGCGCATAGTGATCATCAGTCAAACAGCTTTGAGACAATGGTATAGCTACCAGTTCCAATAATATGTTAGATCATGTCAGCTTCAATTTTTAAACTAAAACACTAGTAGGCAAAGATACCAGTCATATGAAATGGAGATAGAAGGTATATCATTAAAGAAGGCTTCTCGAGCACCAGCAACTGTCCCTGAGTAAACACTGCAAAATAGGGACCTAATCACTACAGCAATGAAACAAAAAAATGCCAGATGATGCTACAGAAGCAGCTATAGCAGAAATAAATGCCTTATAGGTTAAACAGCACTTTTGCCTTTCAACTATTCACTCAAGAGCACCTACTATCGTAAACTTTCATGTGATATAATTTTCCCTAAAGATGATGCATTTAGCACCTTGCCGTTAAAAAGTTAACGTTAACCATTTGTTGACTTTAAAATTGCAGAAAAAAACCTCAAAAATTGCAGAAAAGGACTTATAAAATTACAAATAAATACCCTAAAAGAAAATTAATATCAATTAAATCCCTTAAATTACATATAAATAGTAGGATACAAATGTTATTTCTTACCCATGTAAAAGGTCAAAATATGATTTTGAACAACCATTATTTTAAGGACTTAATCAATATTTGTTTTCTTAAATGGCACTTATTTGCAATTTTATGGGTCCTTTTCTGTAATTTTTCAGGTCATTTTTTGTAATTTTTTGGTCAACTAATGGTCAAAGATAACTTTTTTTCCTGCAAGGTGCTCAATGCACCATTTTTAAAAGTTGAAGGGAAAAATTGCACCATATAAAAGTTTAGGATACCAGGTATTCTTGAATGAATAGTTGAGAAGTAAAAATATCCTTTACCTTTTTTAGCAAATTTTGATTGGTTTCATATCAAATTTATGGAAAACATACATTATGATTATCTCTTCATGGCTTAGAAAGACAAAGTCTATCATATTTTCACAAGGTCTCTCTAATATTTGCAGCCATTGCTAGCACATCCATGTTTCTAAGATCACCAGAGAATAGGTGTAGGCTGAAACCTATCATTCAAAAGAATCTTATATTTTCCATGGAAAACTAGTATTGGTATTTAGTCATAATATATACTGATCTTCAAATTAGTTTGATCATGACTTGCATACTATTAGCAGTGGAAGAGACAATAGTTGAAGAGTCTAGCGATATTTTAGAATTAAGAAGAAACAAAAAGCTGCATACACGTGATAACCGCAGTTGCTACCCATGTTTATGCCACTGAGTACCTGAGCATTAAGTTGAATATATATTAGCAACTAGCTCGCTATGTGGCATAACTTCTATTCAAGTAGGTGATGTGCATGCAGATAGTTTTCTTAGCAGAGAAGAATTGTATAACTGGGTAACAGAATCCAATATCCCAAGAAGTTTTATAATCTCCTTTTCTTTGAAGGTTTCTTTAAGTACATCAAAAAACATTGCAGAACTTTTCCAGTAAAGAGAAAATGCATAGATGACAGCAGAATAGGAAACGGTCCCCCAATTAACGTCATACTTTTCACAACCCAAAAATTACAATTTACATCCAAGGTACCAGATCAGCTATTGTAGGAAATAGAGCTTTGGAAATTCCCAGAGAGGCACAATCAGCCGGAGTACCTGCAAAAATATTTTAATATCGACATTTTGCAATAAAAGATTTTATATCATGCATATACCTAAAAATAATCAAGTATTCAAACAACAATGCAATGAATTCTTTTTAATGCAAGAAAATTCTCTCAGCATCTCCAAAATGGACAAAAACAATAATATAAATGCATTTAAAAACTATCAACAAACTAGAAGAACATGGATTTGATATAAAATGGAAAGAATAGGGGGAAGAGCGTTATAAATAAACAATTTATGAAAAATCATTTGTCAAAGAACCAAACAAGCACAGGCACTTTGATTATACAAATAATATAGAGAACTTAGTGCATCAATTTTCTAATTCCATATACTTAACTTTTTACAGAAAATATTATGGGCTATACAAATAAATCAGAGGCAAGCATGGCAAATTGTGACATCAACCTGACAAAACATATGAGAGCCACAATTTCAATTCTCTCCCATTGTAAAAATAATCACCCAGATGATGCTATTTTAACATTAAAAACAAACTGTCTGGGAACATTTTGATGATGCCTAGATGAACAATTCTTCATATAAAAAAGCACAGGGTAACACATAGATGAGCATGAGCTGAAAGCAAAACTAACCAGAAACCGCATATGCTGAGGCTCCATCAATGTTTACTGGCTTGGCTTGTATAGGATGGAGCCATGTAATACCGTGACTAACAGCCGACCTCTCCCTGAAATCGATTTAATTAAAACAAATAGAACCATAAAAGTACGGTACTCCCAGAAAAGTCGCAAGCTTCGGAGCGGCTGCCTGATACTCAAGCTTAAAATAACAATGCAAACAACAATCACACAAAAACATAGCTGCTACACGGGCCAGCTGAAACAGGTTGCCATTTCAAGTAAATGAGTCAATAGAACTCGCAGACTCCCTGAAAAGGTTCATGTGATTACTGGGTTGTTGCATACTACCGACACAGAATCAGCATGACAGTGTTTTCTCTGCTCAAACTTCTCGGTCAAACAAGCGCTGCCATCAATTATAACTTGAAAAACGGATCACTGGCCTCGATACTCATGTAAATAACAAAATAAAGATAATTGACTACTTAGACTGATTGTGCAAGTTTGTCAGCAAGAGGGCGAGGATAAGGAGTACCTATCAGGGGCGCAGACTTGAACGTTAAAACGATTAGTGGAGACAAGAACCTGGACCAAAGCTCTCAAACCAGGTGCATCGATTCCATCATCGTTAGTGATCAAAATCGTGGGTCGTTCAGCGCCTTCCATTCCTCTTACCTCCGAATTTGAGTGCCCCTCCTGGAAAAGAAAGGCTATGGCGCTGGGCTTTAGTTTTATTTTTTAATTTTTTTTGTTTTAATAAAATAAACAACAAATACTGCAATTGTTTTAATTTTTATCGCACCAATACCAAAAAAAAAAAAAATTGACCCAGTACAAAAAATTAGGTTAATTCAATCAATGTATACAAAATTAAAGGTCGAATTACATAAAGACGACATAGGAAAATTAATTACTCATAAGTTTTAGCGGTTTATAAATACTGTAGTTTAATGTGTAAATATTAAATTTTAATTTGTAACTAACATTAAAGAATTAATTAATTAATTTGGGACTTATTATAAATTTATAATTCTCCTAAAATTAAAAGGCAATAAGCAATTGTTGGTCAATTGAGAAGGGAAAAAACTCGATTCCATATTTCCATTTGCTTGAGAATTGAGATCAAGACTTAAAATTTTTGGATAAACAAAAAAAAAAACCAGAACTCTGATTAGATGCAACAATACTCAAATCTCGTAAAATTTTGTGATTTGTTTCAAAGATGACATTGAAAAATTGAATGAACAAAATTATTAAATAAAAGTAATTCTCTGAAATCTAAATAAACATATTCAATCCATTGCTTTTGTAAACGAAACAAAATCTACGGTTAATACGTGTTTGGAGCGATGATTGAGCTCCGGCTACTGTTAATTGATTTGATATGAAATTCCTTTGTGAAGTCGAATTAAGGCGAGAAACAGCATTTCAGAGCGAATCAGCCCTTTTTATTTTATTCTATTGAGTTTGTTGTTGCTTACGACATTCTTTTTGACCAAGATAGGATAGATAGATATATATACATATAATAAGAATAGATCAGGGCAGTGTGAATAGAAATCAGGGATTTAAACCCTCATGAGTCATGGTGTATTTAAAAAGATGCCACATTTTTTTTTTTGGGGGGGAACCGAGACCACAAGCCAGCATACAGCATTCGGACCAAGAGAAAATTGACTGGATTATTATTATAGTGAGCAGTTGGTGGCATTAGCCATGCACGGGCTATCTAATTTTATTATGTTTAATATTTATAAAATTGATAAAATAAAATAATACTATTATTGTAAGATAATTTGCAAGATACTTTATTATAAGACATAGATTATTCTTATTACTTATATTAATTAACATGATATTACTTGAGTTTTTTCAATATTACTCATAGTTGAAGTTATGAGCAAAATTCATTGACCTCCCTTTTAGTTTATCTTAATTATAGATATATTCTTTTTATTTTTAAAACATATATGAACCTCTCTTATAATTAATAATTTTTGAAAACAAAGCATTCTTTTATTTTCAAAAGTATATTTCCATCCACCCAACTATTAAGTCATATATACTAAACCAAAATACCCTTTTGAAGTATTATCTAAAAATTATTTAAAATTTTAAAAAATGAATGCATATGTTTTAAAATTTTATTCATATTTTCAACTTTTTAAATAATTTTAGAAATTTTTATTTTGTAATCTTTTTAAAAATACAAGATATAAAAGTTTTCTAAAATAATATTTCAAACGTATATATAAAAAAACATAATGAAATAGTGATGTAATATATAATAAAAAATAAATTAGTAAATATAATTTATATTTATTTCCAATAAATTTATTTAATTTAACTATTTTCTTAATTATTTAAATTTTCTTAAATTGATAGGGAGAGAATATAAAATTAGATTGTAAGGTAAATTAATAATTTTAAATTTTTAACATAATTAAAAACAAAAATTAAAATATGTTGACGGTGTTAGAAATTTGAGTAAAGTGTAGGTTTTGAAAATAGGAAAGAGATTTCTGTAATTTTAGCAAAATAGAGGGGAGTCAGTGTAATTTACTCTGAAGTTATTAACTATGAGAAAAAATTAAATATAAATTTTAGTTTATTATTTTTGAGCCTTTAATTTTTTTAAAGAAAAGGAAAAGGAGAATTACATACAAATTTTTCTCTTAAACTTGGTTGTGAATGAATTTTGAAACAATTAATTATATTGAGGTGCAGTTTATAATACTTCTCCCTTTGCAAAATAACCATGACTCTGCCACTAATAGTATGCATGCGTGGATTAATGGTCACCCTGGTAAAAACAAGAGCAAATTATTTACGAGGGACCACCAAATCTAAAAGCTACTTATTCACAGGGACCTTAAGTGTTAAATAATTGAACGGGAGCTCGTGAATTTTCATAGCCTGGGTGTTAAGTTCTTAAACCTGATCATTGCCTCCTTGGCATATGATTTATGAGATAACAACGTGGATAAAGTAACAAGAGATATACTAGAAGAAGATGAGATGGGATGGAAAATACTCTTCGAAACATATTATAGGGCATTTTTTAAAAGTTTTGTTTGTTTTAAAATATAAAATACTGAATAACTTTTATAATTATTTTTTTAACCATACGCCTACTTCATCTTTTTTTAATAATATATTAGAATTTTAATTATTATTATCAAAATACTTATATAAAATATTTAATAAGAATAAAATTGAAAAGATGTAATTTTAAAAAAAAATTAAAATTTCAACTGATATTTTTTGGAGATCTATAAATTAATTCCTAATACTGTATATTTTATTTCGGACGGGGCAGATATTTGGAAGAGAACAAAGCAGTAGTGGTGCCATTAGAATCCTCGTCGTTCAGTTTACCCAAACGCCCAGTCGCCCACCAAATGCAGACCGCTCTTCATCTTCATCATTATTCACTCCCCTTCAAGTCTTCAAACGAACTCATAATTTTGAATTTTCCCCCACCTTCCTTCGTTATTACATCCGGCATTGCTCCTATTCACATCTAATTTACAATTTATTATTAAAAAAACATACTTTTTTATAAATAACAAATCATTGCCATATTTTTGCATGTCACAGATATAAACAAATTATATGGCTAGGATGTAATAGGATGTCCACCTAAATCATTTTTTTGAAAAAAAAATCAGGGTTTTTTTGGGGCCTTTCGTGGCTTTATCAAATTATCATAATCAAACCACAGGAGCCCCAAGCTTTTGCCCGTGTGAGGTTGAATCAGGACAAGGACTCGCCATTACTTCATACTTAACGCCTCATCACAATGTCGTACCATTATATTCTCTGATACATATTCATCTGATCTCCAACACAAACACGAATTCCCCTATTGTACATGCACACCCCCTCTCTTTGTATATATCAAGCTTTCAACTCGAAGTTTCGTTTACTCTCCAATGTTATCTCGCTTAAAAATGCATCAACCATTTGATGTATTGACCAGCATGATGCAAACAAAATAGATTTGATACACACACAGAGACTATAGATAAATGTGGGAAAACTTGTGACCTAAAGTGATAAATTCCAAGGCAGACAAGCTAGATTCCTTTAGCCTCGGGCGTGGCACCGTCCTTGTGCGCATATCAATATCATGTTAGGCATTGTACCTTGTCTAGGGCACGTGCCTATAATCATCATTCCCACAACCACTTCCCATATCGTCATATCCTTCCCTACCCATGCTTATCCAATTTTCAATCCCTAAATGTACTTCTTCTCCTTGTTTTTTTCCTCGCCAGAAGTGCACCTTTAACTCTTTAAAAATTTACTTTTATATTACTTTTATTTAAAAATATAAAATATTTTTAATTAAATTTTATTTTTAATAAAATAATTATTTATTTTTAAATTAATTTTATCTTTTTATATTTATCTCTATTAAATATCCTACAATAAATGTAAAATCATCATCAATAAAAACACTTAAAAAATAATAATGTTTGAATATTTAATTTATCAAAAAATATCTTACATGTTTTAACAGAGCAAGTATCAAATTTTAAAGCTCAAGCAAAGTCTTTTACGTATAACTCAAAATTTAGAGTTGCTATGCATAATGTAACCTTAATAAGTGTATAAAAACTTATTTATAATGTAATCTATTTATAGCGAGGAAAGTTAAAATGGGAGCTACCAGTTGATCCGGCCACTCTTGCAGCCCTGTAATCTCTACTCTTCTGGCAGTGGTCCAAAGTCCGAACTTCATATTTTGTTGGTTGCTATCATTCAACCAAATGGAGAAAAAGGAGAGGTAAAAGGGGAAATGATAATTGGGGACTCAGTAAAAACATTAATGATCATTATAAATTTTAAATTATTAAAATTTTAATAAAAGATTCAATCCTTACTTGTAATTAAAAAAATAATTCGGTTCAAAAATTTATTGACTATATTTGAAACTATTTTTAATATTAATATTAATTGAGAATTTACAAAAGTTAGTTGAAATATTAATTTTTTTACTTTTAATACATAGCTAAACCACTTAAAAAATTATGTAAATATATTTATAATTATTTGTAATATTAGTTAAAAATTTACGAGAGTTAATTATAAATTACAAACTAATTACTTATTATTTTATACTTTTAATATATAAATAAATCATTTGAGAAATCTATACTATTAGTTGAGAATTGACAAAAGTCAGTTGTGATTTGTAAGTAAATCACTTATAATTTTTTATTATCGCTTGGAAAGTTAACAAAAGATAATTGAAAGTTTTTGTGACATTAGTTGAAAATTTACTAAACTCTATTGTAAATCTCAAATCAATTAGTAAAAGATAATTTATTATAAATAAGGATCATAATATGTTGTTGATATTTCAATAATTAAGGGCCTACAATTATTATTAATGTTTGGAAGAATGATAAGTAATAATCTTGTAAATACATTAATGTCAAATTATGAATTTTAGCATTAAAGCATGGTAGAAGAAGTATTAAAATTTGAGAATATCAGTGTTAAAAAACTTTAATTTGACATAATATTCTTATAAAGTTCTTATTTGTCATTTTTTTCTGATGTTTTTGTAGGATCCTTAATTATTATTTTCTTGAGGTAGTAATATAAAAGAAGAAGAAGAAGAAACGGGCCATTATCAGCAGAGGAAGCAGACCCACCAGCTTCCAAATAGAAAGGTTTCATAAGATTTTCGTGATGCAAAAGCCAACCTTGGCACCCAAAATTCCATCTCGCGCCTAATACCACATAAAATATTTGTCAACATTGATAAAACCAAAAAGCCTACTACTTTGGTTGGTCCATACATGACATGGGCGCTTCATTTTGGTATTCCATCTCGTGATGAGATAGAAAGCAGCAAGCTTGCGATAGAGACGGCTGCCTTTGTCAGCTTTTGTCTGGCGAGCGTGGTGGAAGATCAAGCACTCCCTTAAAGTCATGCAATTGTACGGTCAGTAAATCATCGTTTATTAACTCTACCAAATCGGACAACCACATTATTAGAATTTATAACCACTGTTCATGTGAATTTTACTGCATACAAGAATAATCGATAATTGTTTATGTCTACGTATTATATGTATTTTAAAGTTTTAGCAGATTGTCCTTGTGAAATCTTTGCCTAGTTGTCCCTGGGGTAGTTGGCAAGTTAACTTTGTCATTTTGATGGGCCTTCCTATGCTCTCTGTGTCTGTCTGGCTCTCTGCCTTTCTTTCCCTTCACGCACGGATAGCCAAAAAAGCATAGTTATCCTAAGTTCCTCTCAATCCTCCTATATACATTGACTGCAACTAATCTCTTCTTCTTTTTGCTCACGCGAAACGGAGTTGCTAAAAGCCTTTTGCTTATAAAACTGACTCAGCGAAGAACAGATAAGAATATAAAGAGGCATGAATGGTTCTGCAAGTTTTGAGGTAGAGGATTCCGAGTTCGTGGAGGTTGATCCCACCGGAAGATATGGAAGAGTATATATTGAATACCCTCTTTTATTCTTCAGCTCTTCGTTCTTTTATGTTGTTGTTTGTCCATTTTGATTCTGGGTTTTTTTTTTTTTTTAACTTCATATTGGCAGTACAACGAAATTCTTGGCAGAGGGGCTTCAAAGACAGTGTATGAATCATACCCTTATTTTTTCTCTCGTTTTTAGCATGCCCTACTCAGAATCTGTTTTAGTTTGAGGTTTTCATTTTGGTTCTCGTCAATATGGGGGTGTATTTATTTATGCAGTTACAGAGCATTCGATGAGTATGAAGGAATAGAAGTAGCATGGAATCAAGTGAAGCTCTACGATTTTCTGCAGAATCCTGAAGATCTTCAGAGGCTGTACTGTGAAATTCATCTTCTCAAGACCTTGAAACACAAAAACATCATGAAGTTCTATACTTCATGGGTTGATACTGCTAATACGCATATTAACTTCGTCACTGAGATGTTCACCTCTGGCACTCTCAGACAGTAGGCCTTCATCTTCTTCATCAGTATATATATTCTCTGGTCCTTTTAATTATCTTTTGCTGGGTTTTGACAATGAATAATGTCAAACTGATTGTCTGAGCAGGTACAGGTTCAAACACAAAAGAGTTAACATTAGAGCTGTGAAGCATTGGTGTCGGCAGATTTTGGAAGGGCTCCTTTATCTTCACAGTCATGACCCTCCAGTGATCCACAGAGACCTCAAATGTGACAACATTTTCATCAATGGCAATCAAGGGGAAGTTAAAATTGGTGATCTTGGCCTCGCTGCAATTCTCCGCAAATCTAATGCTGCTTCTTGCGTTGGTAGGTAGAAAATTATTTGTCGAAGTGGTCAATTACAACTGTTATTCTCTTAAGCTCTCTGTTTCAGGGACATGCTCTAAGCTAGATAGAAGGGCTCTGTGTGTTGCATGGACGAAAGAGCTGCATTATTTATTTCCTTCTTTCTTTTTCGAATTCAGGCACACCAGAATTTATGGCTCCGGAAGTGTATGAAGAGGATTATAATGAATTAGTTGATATCTACTCTTTTGGAATGTGTATCTTGGAGATGGTGACATTTGAATACCCTTACAGTGAATGCACCCATCCTGCTCAAATTTACAAGAAAGTTGTCTCTGTAAGAACCAAAATTATATTATATTGCCTATATTTACTTTGCTTCTTTGAATTCTTTTTTTTTTTTTCCTCAATAGAAAAAGTTCTTTATTCATACACATACATGTTCCCTCCAGGGAAAGAAACCAGAAGCTCTCTACAAAGTTAAAGATCCGGAGGTTAGACAATTTGTGGAGAAATGCTTGGCAACTGTGTCCCTTAGGCTTTCTGCGAAAGAACTTCTGAAAGACCCTTTTCTTCAAATTGATGATTATGGGTCTGATATGAAAGCACTTCGGTATCAAGGAGATTGCTATGAAATAACCCCTTTATTTAGACAACCTCTTAATGGAGTTCGCAGCAGCAGCAATTCAATCAATGAGTACACTGATTATCTCAGTGGTTATGGACCAGAATCTGAGTTAACCAGCGAAATTGATCTGTTTGATTGTGAAGATGATGATAATTTGGCTGAAGTTGATACTGCAATCAAAGGCAGGAGAAGAGAAGATGATGGCATTTTTCTGAGACTCAGGATAGCAGATAAGGAAGGTTGGTATTTCCATTTTGTTATGATGTTCTTGAAGCTTTCTAGCCTTTGATGATTTTAGTATCCATTGTTCTTATCATTGCAGGTCGAGTTCGAAACATCTACTTCCCATTCGACATAGAGACCGATACAGCATTGAGTGTAGCAAGTGAAATGGTCGCCGAGCTAGACTTAACTGACCAAGATGTAACAAAAATAGCGGATATGATAGATAATGAAATTGTAAACTTGGTCCCAGAGTGGAAAACTGGACCCAGAACGGAAGAAAGTCCTGAATGCACTAGTGAAAGTCTCTGCTTCAATTGTGCTTCTCGTGGGACCTTCTTTGATTATGTATCATCAAACAGCCCATCAGCTAAGAAGCTACAATTTCTTCATTGTTCCAGAGACGGCTGTGCGGCCGTTCATGGCCGTTTTGAGGAGATCACTTACCAAGTTGAGGGGTCTGAAAATTGTGCTGCAGATGGTCCTCCAGCTGCTTCAAGTCAATCTACTGGCATTCGCTATACTGATATCTGGGCTCAGAGAGATGAACCGGAACCAAGTTCAGAGGAGTTAAGAGACATACATGGTGACAAATCACAGGAGGCATTAAACCAATCGATTGATGATGATGAGAGAAGTATTAATGGGGATGATCATATTAATCCCAACTCAAAAGACACGTTTTCTAATCAAGAATTAAATTGTGTTTTCCTGGACTATGAGAATGAAATTAGGCATGAACTAAGATGGCTCAAAGCAAAGTACCAAATGCAGTTAAGGGAGCTTAGAGACCAGCAATTAGGTGGAACGCCAAAACTCTCAATCACATCTCCTGACCCCGAAGAATCAGAAGAGCATAGGAAATACAGTGGGGTCCCAAAGCTACCAGCTACAGCTTACTTCAAGACAAGGAACAATATACCATTCTTGAGGCTTTTAACCACCAGGAAGCGATTTCAGGCTGATGCAGAGAAGAACAAGAAGTGCTCAGCTAAGGCTAATATCAATATGGTGCAGGATATAGGTGAGACTAGTGGATCTAATAGTCCTGAGCAAGTTGTCACATGCAACGATTTTTATGCTGGAGCTTTGCTTCCCCACTCGCTTCATAGAGCGACCTCTCTTCCAGTTGATGCAATAGATGCGTAGATGCCACTAAAACTTCATACATATCTCTGTAAAAGTGGATTCCATGGCAAATATACCGATGAAGCTGCTTGTTCTGTTTGCTTTGATTAAGGGAAAATCAGAGGTAATTGAAGACATACATCAATGATTATAGGCCCCATTTTATGTGAATCAAAACCAGATATACGTCATACAGAGATTAGCAAAATCACTTTAGTCCAAGAAATTTTCCCTTCATGCAGTTCCATCTCCTCTGGCCCAAAAAAAAAAAAAAATGGTTCCGTCTCCTAAAAAGCGGTGCTAACTACTTCACTAATCCAAATTGATTATTGTATGATAATATTTTTGATGATGATGTTTTATTTGATATGCAAAATCAACATCCGGTTCCCGAGGACTTGATTTCCTGAAATTGTAGAGAAATTTATGCTTCAACTCAAAGAAATATGGGACTCAACATTTAATCATTTGACTTCATTAATTACTTGCATGCGGACTTTTATATATTGTCTTTTCTCTAAAAATGTAGATTACTGTAAAATTTTCATCTTTCCAACTGGCTTGATGAGCTATGTCATATCAGAAATGGTGGGATGGCCTTTCACTTAAAAACCAGGAAATTATATTTGTAAGCAATAGAGACTCCCTAACCAGAAGCTTAGACCACTTGGCATGTCTCAAGAGACAAAGCAAATAATGCTTGTCTTCACTTCCTTCCCGTGCTATGAAGGGGCACAAAAACAAGATGATAAGCTCTTCAGTTCTCTTTTGCCCTTCTGTACCAACTTAGGAGGGAAATATCAATGATATATTTTCCATGAAGATTGCTTGGCCACAAAACTTGAACCTTTCATTTCTAAGGAAAACTCCAAAGATGATGCCTTCGAGATCACAGAAACGGGGGTGACTCTGAGCAGAACTGTATGGTCCTGAAAAGTGAAAAAAAAGTGTGGCGATCAACTGGATAACTACTGCGGCTCCATGTGATTTTGTTGCAGCATGTCTCAAGCCAACTCGCCAGACATTTGAACCATAAAAAAGGCATTGCCTTATAATAATATCCACGAACCCTTTCCTGAAAATTGTATGCCGCAGTACTCAGAACACGCAACATCCCTCTTTCCTTCTGGGAGCTAATTGATGAACAATTAAAAAGATTAGAGAGATTTCTGGTAGGGAAAATAGGGAAATGTTCATGTTACCTAGGCATTTTTTAATTTTTTTAGTAACATAGAGAGAGAGAGAGAGTCATCAAGGTTGAGGATGAGGGAACAGAGGCATCAAGTCCACCAAAGTTTCAATAACTGAACAGGGATAAGTCCTGGATCATCCTGTTTAAATTATTTATTATGCATGTTCGGACATTTGATTTGTGATTCTTATAAATAAACTACCAGCCAAAAACGTGGCGGTGTAGGTGGACGTTAATCAACATGTTAAAAATGTTTTTAAAAATTACAAAAGGAATTAAACATGTCATCAATAAGATACGCATGGCTTAACCCAAAAATTAAAATTTTGTTGTGCTGCGATATTAAATATACTTTAAAAATATACACACTTATGTATCATAATTCAACTGAAGTTTTTTTTTTAAAAAAAAATAGAAAGCTAAATCGTTTATGATTCATTTAACCCAATGCCACATAATAAATGATAATTTCACACTTTTTTCCTGGGAGGACTCTTCTCTCCGAGGCCGAGGCATTGAGGCTTCCCATGTTCAACTTAGGCTCCAGAAAGCAATGAAGAAGGCAAAAATCACTGCCCGAAAGCAACCCATTATTACTATTCACTACGCTGCTTTAATCATCGCCAAACTCTTGTCACTATCACCCTTAGCTTTACCTGTTGCCCTTTTCTACCCTTCCCCTCATTCTTCTTCTACTTTACAATTCAGCAGCACTCGGCCTAACTGACATTTCTGGAACTAGTATGACTTTAGATCTTTCATAACTTCATACTAACCAAACTAGATAGATATTCAATTTTCTTTTAGCATATAGGGCAATGGATGAGATCTCTGATGAACGATATAGAAAATCATGATGTTACTGAATAAAACACTTTATTGGATCCATTGGATCAGAAAAATTCTCTAACTGATACAATCAAACTGGGCGGACGAACATATATAACCTAGAACAAAGTAATACAAAGACAAAACAAACCTTAGCACAACCTTGGCCCAATATCGGCCCATACAGAATATTAAACAAAATATCCAACACTATTTTTCTAAATTTCCCCTTAAGTTAGAACCAAAAATATTCATCATTCCTAACTTGGCTAACATTCTCTCATGACCCGATGCACCCAAGGCTTTACTAAATATGTCTGCTTGCTGATTTGATGATGAAACATGTTGTAATGAAATTAAACTTTTCTAAAGCTTTTCACGAACAAAATGATAATCAATTTCAATATGCTTGGTCTGTTTATGAAAAACTGAATTAAAAGTAATTTAAATTGCTGCTTTACTGTCACAGTTTATCAAAACAAGAAGAACACTCTCAACCTTTAAATCTCTCAGAAGTCTTGTCAACCATACAATTTTTGATACAACATTTCCCAAAGCTTTATACTCTACTTCAGTAGAAGGACGTGACATTGTAGCTTGTCTCTTAGACTTTCACACAATAGGTGCACCTCTCATTTTAATAATATACCCTGTCATTGACCAACGGGTATCTGCACAAGCCTCCCAATCAGAGTCACAATACGCTTCAAGTACTGTTCCTCTATTAGAAGTAAAGAAGATTCCTCTTCCAGGGTCTTTCTTTAAAAATTTAATTGCATTCATTACTACTCTGAGATGTGACTTTCTAGGATTATTCATATACTGACTTAAAACCTGCACAATAAAATTTATATCTGGTCGATGCCTAGTTGGATTGGACAATAGTAGATCCTTCTCCCCTTTTTTAGGTTCACAGTATAGCTTCAAACCTTAGACCATAGGAACATTTCTTGGCTTAGCAGCACTTAATCCACAATTGGAAATTAAATCTAAAGCATATTTTCTTTGATTTAATACCATTCCCTTTTTTGACTTTGCCATTTCAAGATCTAAGAAATATTTCAAAGGACCTAAATCTTTGATTTTGAATTGATAGTGAAGAAAATCTTTTATTTCTTGAATAAAAGCATTAGAATTTTCAGTAGTAAGTAAGTCATCAACATATGCAAGAATTAAGACTATATTGTTTCCCTTTTATTTAGAAAACAAAGAGTAGTCATGCTTACATTGTGTAAAACCTCTTGCAATTAGAGATTTAGGCAATTTCAAATTTCACTGTCTTGATGCTTGTTTTAATCCATGTAAGGACTTAACAAGCTTGCAAACCTTTTTCTCACCTTTATAAAAAAACCTTGAGGTATTTTCATGAAAACTTCTTCAGTCAAGTCTGCTTGAAAAAATGCATTATCAACATCCATTTGACACATGTTTCATTTGTTTTTAACAGCAATAGATAAAACAGTTCTAACAGTGGGCATCTTAACAATAGGAGAAAATGTGTCAAAGTAGTCTATTCCTTCAATTTGACTATACCTTTTAGCAACTAATCTAGCCTTTAATTTGTTCAAGGTTCCATCAGCATTATATTTCTTTTTAAAAATCCAACTACATCCTATTGCTCTTTTTCCTGCAAGAAGATCAACTATTTTTCAAGTATTGTTCCTTTTTAAGGCATCTATTTCATTTTTCATTACTTCTATCCATCTACTCTCTATAACAGCCTCTTCAAATGTATTTGGCTCAATAATATCATATGTACAACAAGAAAATTTTTATAAGATGATAATACACTAGAATAGCAAACGCTATGTTGAATAGGGTATAAGATTTTCCTTTTTCTCTTAGACTGAATGCTATTTAATTGTTTTAAATCAATGTAATCGTAATCTTTAAACCAACTAGGTGGCTTTCTATCTCTAACATGCTGAGATTTTGTGGCTCTATTTGAGAACCAGAATAATCTTCATTATTGGTTATAGATTCATCACAAGCATTGATATGTAAGCGTAAATCATCTATAACAGAATCGGAGGTGTTCTGTGTATTATGGCTAGGAACATTCTCAACAATAGGATAATTATCAAAGGAAGTGTCAAACATAAAAGGCTCTTGAGGTTTGATCAATAAATCTCCCATTGGTTTAGAACTTAAAAAAACTTCATCTTTCTAAGGAAATTTATTTTCAGGGAAAACAACTTCCCTACAGATCTAAAATTTATCTTTTCTAATGTTACAGATGATATATCATTTTTGACTGCTAGGATAACTTAAGAAGACGCAAGGTTCTAATTTAGGCTGAAATTTATCTACCTTATTCAGTGTTTTGGCATATGCTAAACACCCAAAGATCCTTAAATGATATAAATTAGGTTGTTTGTTGTAAACTATTTCATAAGGCATTTTATAACTCAGTATCCTAAATGGTGTCCTGTTGATTAAATAAATGGCAGATCTATAATTTCACCTAAAAATTTAATTGGAAGATTAGCTTGAAACATGAGGCACCTAACAACCTCAAGTATGTATCTATACTTTCTTTCTACCACCCCATTCTGTTGGGGTGTATAAAGGCAAGAAGTCTCATGAATTACTCCATTATTCACAAACTTAGTACCATTATTAGTCCTAACCCTTTTAATGTGAGTAGAAAATTGATTTTGTGCATAAGTAAAGAAAATTTTGATAAAAGAAAATACTTCAGACTTATGTGTTAACAAATATACCCAAGTAACACATGACGTGTCATCAATTATAGTCAAGAAATATTAATAGCCTTGATGGGCATGTTCTTTGTATGGTCCCTACATATCCATATGAATAAGATTAAAATAATGGATAGAAGTTTTATTACTAATAGGAAATGACAGTCGTGGTTGTTTTGCTTGCAAGCATACGTCACATTTATCCCTTTCAATTGGTGATAATTCATCTTTCAAAAAACTAAGATGTCTTAAAACACTATATGATGCATGGCCTAACCTAAGATACCAAAGTTTATTATTGGAAACAAAATGACTACAAATGGGGATATTAATATCTTCAACAATATAAAGCCCAAAGTCAATTTTAACAATCGTCTTCATGCTTTCATTGTAAAAGTCCTGTAAAACACATACTTCAGGAAAGAAAGCAACAACATAATTGTGTTCACAAGTGAGATGAGAGATGGAAATTAAATAACAACAAATGCCAAGTGTAAACAAAAC